CTTTACACTGTTATTGTTTTCATTTTAAATAGTCAGAGCTGATACCAGAGCTCCCCATTTTTCTCTGCTCACACCAACCGGTCGAGGCAGGTGACCACCCACATTGAGCCTGGTTCTAGAGGTTTCTCCCTGTTAATGAGGGAGTTTTTCTCTCCACAGTCACCAAAGTGCTGCTCATTGTGGGAACTGTTGGGTTTCTCTATATTAATAAGATTTTAAGGCCTTGACCTTCTATGTAAAGTGCCTTGAGATAATGTATTTTATGATTTGGCGTTATACAAATAAAATTGAATTGAATTGCGTGTGTGTGTGTGTTTGACAGAGAGCAGTTCTCTGCAGAACAGGATGTTCCCTCACACAAACACGTTATGTGTTTAAGTAGAGCAGGTAAGAGCTTTGGGGAGTGAACAGCTATGTGTGTGTCTCTGTGAGTCTTTGGGGGTTACCCGAACACAACAACGTCTATGTTTGTCGAGTCTGTGTATGCACCTGCTCTCATGTATAATCTCTAATCAAGGTAAATCATTCTGTGCATATAAGTGCACAAGAAACCGGAATAAAAAACTGTAATCTTTTTACGAAGGACAGCATTATTCACCAAGAGGGCAGCAAAGCTTTATTCACTATGACCTTTCCTGTCTGACAAGCTGCAACTACTCCACACATGTCTTAACATGCACATAGTTATACATGTTTGTATTAATCACATCTTCCTCAAAAGAGCATCGGAGATGAACTGCACCTATGCGACACACAGCTCATATATAGCATATGTCCCAACAAGATTAAAAGTCTGAATCTCTGCTGAAGACCCACAGAAAATGTTATATTTCAGACACAGCACAACCATGTATCCAGCTGTGGGGCTGGAAATTGTTTGTTTCAGTTTCATTAGAGTAATGGGGTCAGTTACTCCAAATGAGACTGTCTCCTTTGGAAGGAACATAAAAATGGATGCATTTCGTGGCAATGGAACATATTGTATAAAAGATACAGATTAATTTTAGAAATTTATATTTTAGTGATTTTACATGTTGTTTGCCTCATAGGGCCACATAGTTGTTGGACGTAACACATGGAAAGCACAGAAATATAATCAACCAATTCAGTATATTACATATTTAGCAACTTCAGGTCAAACTAGATGCATTTTTGAAGTGCATCATTATAAGGGCAAGTTTGTCTCAGGAGGTAGACCTCGTCAACTTACCAGGGGTTGCCGCTCTGATCCCAGCCCTCCATTCTTCATGTCAAAATGCCTTTGGGCAAGATACTGAACCCAAAATTGCCCCTGACAGCTGTGTATGAGTGATCTATGATAGAGAAAGAGCTGCACAAAGATGAGGTGAATGAAAAGCTTTACTGAGCTTTGAGTGGTCATCAAGACTAGAAAAGCTTTTATGTATAAATACAGAACTCGTAAATGTATTAATTAACATTACAACTAGAAGTGGAAGGGAAATTAAATCACATTTTGTGAAGTTGAAAAGGAGTGGGAGATAAAAGAGAAGGTCACCACTATAGGAAGAACATACCATGTGTATGCATATGCACTGTGTAGAGAGTGATGGTACAGTGGAGGATGACTGTACTTGGGCATCCACATTTTGAAGTGGAAGACCGCGTACTATGTACAAGAAAAGGGATGAGCAGACTATTTTCTGAGGAGGCTGAGATATTTCAACGTGTGCAGGAAGATGTTGGAAATCTCTATCAGTCTGTCGTAGCCAGTGCACTGTACTTTGATGTGGAGAGGAGGGCACTGAACAAACTGTTATCCATCATGGACAATCACGAGCAACCTCTCCACCACCTAGTGGACAGACAGCGGAACACTGTACAACTTTGTCACCTCTGTCAAAAGGGGGAACTCTCACAACCCTGAGCTGTATAGTTTCTGTCCACACCAAAACTCTCTGACTACACTGCAACTGTGAATTTGCAGATCTTATATTCATTTTAGAACTTTATTGTGTATCATTTACTTTGGGAGTATGTATCCCAGTTGTGGATCAATAAAGTACTATCTATCTATCTATCTATCTATCTATCTATCTATCTATCTATCTATCTATCTATCTGTCTATCTGTCTGTCTATCTGTCTGTCTGTCTGTCTGTCTGTCTGTCTGTCTATCTATCTATCTATCTATCTATCTATCTATCTATCTATCTATCTATCTATCCATTCATCCATCTGGTTTATTTTTTGGTGTATGTCATTTTCAATTTATGTTTAATATGAAGTGAGGACCCAGGTCCTTCCTGTTTTGGTTCATGTCACATTCTAGCTAAATCACACATGAGGTTCTTTTCCATACAACATACAGTATGTTTATTCCCTGTCAGTTGCAAAAGAATATGACATGATGTTTATAACAAGTTGATGTGAAAGATTTGACCCAAAGGGCGGAGGGTAAAAATCCCACGCTGTATCCTAATCCAACACGCTCGATATGTCATCGTCATTGTCTCCAACCCAGCCTGTCAGACGCTGTTGCTCATGAGGATTATACACAATCCGTCATGAAGGAAGTGTGTGTATGTGTGCACATAAGAGGCTGTAGGTGTAATCTGGGAGCTCATTCCCTAATGCCATACTGCTCTCTATCTCTCACATGGCATTATGGCTCTCTGGTTTCAGTCCTTCCTGCGATGACATCATTGTGGACCTCAGTGGGAGAAGGAGAGCTGAACAAAAACTGGAGAGTTCTGTGTAGAGACATGATGGTACATTTCCATGATGCTCTCCACGGTACAGTGACAGCTCAATTCGAAATGACAACTGCGACTGCCTCTTCTGTTCCTTTAATGAACAAAAGCAGAATCCATGTGACGCGTCACCATGAAGAGGTCAGAGGGTGTATAATCAGTACATTGTGGGTGTATATGTGTGTTTCGAGGGTGAAAGATCAATCTCATAGTTTTTAATTATAATGGTGCCAGAATTCTTTACTTAAAGTAGCACCTTTATTCCCGAGAGTCTCATTTTCTAAAACACAACTTATTTACAACGTAATTTTTTTTTTAGTTCAGCTGATTCCCATCATTATTCTGCTGTTGTTCGGCATGATCAATACATTTGTTTAAAGGTACAGTGTGTAGAATTTTGTAATATCTAGTATTGAAATTACATGTTGCAGCTGAACACCCCTCACCGCACCCTCTCCTTCCAAACATGAAAAAGAACCTGTGGCAGCCTTTAATTGTCATAAAAACTCAAAAGGTGTTTAGTTTGTCCAGTCTGGACTAATGTAAAAAACATGGCCTCCGTAGAGAGGGTCCCCATGATGTAAATATAAAGTATTTAAATATAAAGGGGCTTTTCTGGGGTAAAGAAAACTACAAATACAATTTAGATGAAACAAACTAGTGAAAACATCATGAGGATTATTCTACATTAAATTTCTACCAATAGATCCTTTCACCTAAATCGAAAAAAACGAAAAGAAGTTATCATGTCAAAATATCCAAAATAAAATGCAATTTTTTTTGCTGGGTTTCACGCATTTTCGTTGTCTTGGTCATCAAAGTAATTTCTCCACAGCAACAACAGCTCACCATCCACACGCACACACCCCTCTCTCACTCCCCCTCTGGAACAGCCCCAGCTCCGCAGCATCACCGCGCTGCGCTCTAACATCCACGCCGAGAAACCGCACTCCTGTCCCGGGTCGCTCAGCTGGGAGGTCCGCCCTCTGACTTCAGCAATGGAGGAGGAATAGACGGTGGAGGCACCGATCACCGACCTCTTCAAACTGCATCAAGTGCCCTATACTTAAGATACGACCGGAAAAGAGGATTCAAAATTAAAAGCCTAATCTGTATGTGACATGTTTTGGATTAGTGTTTGTAAATGTACATACAGTACAGACATTTCCTTTATTTGTCTTTACCCTACATTTTAACAGCATGTCTTCCAGAGAAGAACTGTGTGATAATCTCGAATTATCCAGAAAACATAAACCAATAATTATAATAATATATAATAATACATTTTATTTCAAAGGCGCCTTTCTGTCACTCAAGGACACCGTACATAGTTAAAAGCAAAAACGTGAAACATTTAAAAGGAGAAACATTAAAAACGTGAAACATTTAAAAGGAGAAACATTAAAAAGAAAAACATTAAAAGAGAGTCATTAAAAGTATCCATCATAAAAACATTAGAACCGAGTTGACAGATGCAATTTCTATTTACATATTTAATTATTAGCATAGCTGTGATTCTTTGTGGACCCAGTATGTTATCGTTGCAGACAAGCTTATATTGCCTAAAAAATCTAGAGGCAAATGGTCAGATTTTCTTTTTTTGGCAAGAAAATCATATTATATGCACTGTCGCTGATGAATGTACCAATGCCAACCATGGGATTTATTTATTTTCAGGCTATAAGCTATTGTGGTGTCACACACAAAAAACCAAAACATTTGAAATAAGGTGGCTGTCTTATTTTGAAATTCCGGGCCGGATGTGTACTCCCGCGACGCTCTGGTGAACTTGGTGAGAGTGTCTGCGGTCGAATCCCCTCTCGTGCAGTGAGTTCAGGGTGCACGCACACGCCGCCCGCCGCCGCTGACAGCTCGCCTCACTTTCTCGGACCTTTGCTCCGCCACCGAGCTTTCCGTCTGACCGCTGCCCGCTGCCCAGCGCCATGGCTCGCGTGGTGGTTGACGGGATGCCGGAGACGGCCGTCGGAGGAGGAGTGGTGTTGAACCGGCGGAGGAGCAAAGCCAGGCGGAGGAAGCGAAAGGAGTTGTTCGGCGTCCAGATGTGCTTCGCGGGGGTAATGCTGGGGCTGGTCGCGGGGCTCCAGTGTGTGTCTCAGAGAGCAGGTGAGAGGCTCGTCTTTGTCTCACGGTCGATATGAAGCACGCGTTCACCATGTGAACAAGACAACACGGCGAGCAGCAGCTCGGGGCTGGTTTGAATCGCTTCTTTTTTGAAATGCCTAAAACATCTAAATGATCCGTGTTGTGATGAACGTGTCGCGTGTGAATGTGAACATCAGGAATCATGTGTGACAGCGTGCAAAACAGTAGCATCAGTGCAGGAGAGAACGGTCCCCCCTGACTTATGAACAACACGGACACTTTCCAAGTGTGTGCTCTATAAAATAGATGGAAACCATATGTAACAGTATGCTGAAGCCCACAGTGCTGGCTGTCATCGCTAAAACACATCAGATGAGAATCAGTGTGTCTGATAGAGCTTTAGTGTATCAGCTCACATCTACTGTCACTGTAAAGCAACAACAACATGCATTCATGTAGCTCAACATCTGTAACCAATAATCCCTGGAAGTGGTCGCAGTGTCTCTGCTGCTCTGTGTTGTTGAATTACTCAACAGAAATCATCTTCTGTGGACGACAGCAGGCGGAGGACAACCGCTCAGCTGGATATTACTATGTTAATACCTGCTGTTCATACCTGGAGCCATGATCATGGACGCAGAAAGCGCTGCTAATAGATGCACTGTATGAATGTGTGTGTGAATGGGTGAATGGCAAACTGCACTGTAAAGCACTTTGAGTGGTCATCAAGACTAGAAAAGCTCTCTATATAAATAAAGACCATGCTGACTCAGTGGCAAACTTGAGGACAGCAATCTTTAAGTTGAAACACAAATGTACACTCACACAAGCTTATCGCCACCGACATGGCTTTTCATACTGACTGGCTTATGAAGAAAAGCACCATGTCATTGCCAGCTCTGAGCTCAGCCAATGTTTTGCTGTCTTTTGCCAAGTAGGTCTTGTAAATGGTGAAGTCAGCAGCCCAGTTAATGTTGTTTAATATCACAGAGTCTCCTCTGAAAGCTGCCCATTGGTGTTACCAGGAAGGAAACACAACAGCTGGTGCAGCTGTGATATATTGAGGATAAGAAATATTTCAGGGGATTCTCCTGAGGAGGAGAATGATCACAGAGACACGAACAGGGATCGATGCTGCTTCTTTAGCCAAGGACAAATGTTTGAAATTAGGGAGTCTTAATGAACACATGATAATTTATCATATATTGAAGGGATATAAATCAGTATTTACATGCAACATTATTCATTTTAATACAAAACGTAATTACAAAGATCATTATGCAATTCTCTAAACTTAAAGTGTAAAATATATAAGTGGCTCTACAAGTTCTTCAGAGACAATAAAAGTCACCGTCTAGTCCTGTCAAATCCGCAATTGTGTATGCATAAAATTTTCAGCAGTGTCACACTGTGGTTTTTCTCTCCACAGTCACCAAAGTGCTGCTCATTGTGGAAACTGTTGGGTTTCTCTATACATTTTAAGGTCTTGACCTTCTATGAAAAGTGCCTTTAGATAATGTATATTATGATTTGGTGCTATACAAATAAAATTGAATTGAACTTATTTTGGTGAAAACATGTCCAGAGTCCATTATGATCTGCATTCATTTGGATTTTTTTTCTTCTATTCTTTTTTATTTTCTATTTGATATAGGGGCACTTATAGAGTACATCTATATCATGGTTTCAGAAAAACAGCCTAAATGCTGTGAGATAGAGATAATCCCAGAGCTGGAATGCCTGCATCCTGCTGATGTGTAGAATTCTGTCTGGGTGCTTCAGTTTGAAAAGGACACACAATGATGCAGAAGAGGATGTTCACTGAACATTCAGGCTCCAGCTTGTGAGGATTTTCCAGGTCGGAATATTGGAAACTGTGATTGGCAGTCTTGACTTTTTTCTGATCAAAGCAATAGTGAAAATAATTGATTGTGGCAGTCTTCAATACATGATCTCTTGTTTTATGTGATGTTTGAAATGTGTGCAGTTTTAAGCTAACAGGATGAACGTTAGTAACTTTATGGCTAAAGAAATGCTTGAATATTGAACTTCTATACAAACTGCAGGAGTGTATACTTCTCATTCTTAATTTATTTCTTTGTTTTTCTCTCTCTCTCTCTGTCCCTTTAATTGATCCCCTCTCTCAAACCTTTTGTTAATGCTGCTAGTGTTACAGCTGTTATTTTCATCATCAGCTTACTTTGCATAAAAGTTAATTTTAACCTTGGAAATAGTTTGTTTACAAAGGTAGGGGGTACTTTCAGCTGTTTCCTCAGGTTATAGAGTTTGTTTGCAGTCATAATTACAGAGCCTAAGGTGGCTTCTTCAAAGTCCTTATTTTGCATTATTGCTAGCCTAAAGCCCAAACACATTACAGATATTAGAATCAGGAATGTTTTGTTGTTGAAAAGATTCATTGTCTTTGAAATGAATGAGTAGTCAGTTTAGATCTAGCGTAGTTAAAAATTGCCAACACAATTGTCTGTGAAAGTCACAATCTTATAAGCACCTGATTCTTTGAAAAGATGAGACATCTCATTCAAATGATGAAGACGTTTCAGTGGTGTGAATGACATTACATACATGTACATTACATGGGAGCAGATTGGTCCTGCATATTGCTCAAGGAAACTCTGACATTTGGACTGGTGAAGAAAAGAATTGAACCAACAACCCTATTAGTCATGGCTAACCAGCTGTACTACCCAAGCCCGTTTATGGACAAACTGTTTCAGCACTGGACTGTGTAGTAATTAGACTAAAACCTCTATGTTGACCTCCCCTGATGGAGGAACATGTTCTGAGTACTGTGTTTTCACAGAGACTGCCACATGGGAGAGCAGGACCTCCTCTCATGATAGTGATGATAGCAGCCCACGGGCACACTGAGCTTTTCTGGATCTTGAACACACACACACACGCACAAACAAACACGTGTTAAGGTTTGTGCATTGCTCTGCCTGTGGACCAACACGTGGGTGTGCACACACCTCTCCTCATCTCCCCTTGTCCTCCACCATCCTTTTAATTTCATCCGTGCACCCGTTCATATCTCAACTCCTGAAAATACAAGGTAAAAGCAGGATCCGGGACAAAAGCACCATAGGAGGGAGGATTACCCATATGAGCAAACACATGTTACTGCCGCTATTATCTGTAGGTTTTAATATCATTGAGCTTTGCAACTCAAGCCAAAGTCCCTCCATCATCCATCTGTGACAAACCTTAAAGACGTGTGTACCAGCCAGACAAATGGTCATGCTATAGAGAAGCCACTAATGGCTGCTCAGTATATCTGCTATACAGCATTAGTCTCCAGATGATCTCATTACATAACTTAAAGCTCTCGTTGGTGGGTCCCCTTCTCTTTGCACACAAGCAGGGGGCGGGAGCGTTGAGCAGAAGAGCACAGACGGAGCACTTTACGCTGACGATGCCACAGGACTCAGAGCTGAATTAGACAAAAAGGAAAAGAGACAAGAGTAGAGGGAAGAGAGGAGGAGGCGCAGCGAGGAGGTGATGTGAAAAAGAAAAGAGGGAGCAAGCAAGGACAGCGTTGGCAGTGATGAAGGGAGGTGGAGGGAAGAAGAGAGGGAAAAAGTGAGATAAGGAGAGGAAGATGCAATGGGGGAAGGCAGGCGAGGAGAAGAAAGAAAATAATGAAGGAGGGAGCTTGTTCATGTTGAGGTGGATGAAGTGATGATGGGAGAAAAGGTGAGAGATTAGAGAGCAAGAGGAAAACGAGGAGGGTGAGGTTTTGAAAGGAATGCAGCCAATATTTCATCTGTGCCTTTTTATAAATATGTCCAAACTAATATTTTATTTATAAGTGTTTTATACTAAGCCGTTTCTAATGAGTGTAGCAGCAGTGTAGAGGATCAACAACGAATAGAAACAACTAAAAATAAAAGACAATTGTAACAGCAATGGACAATGGTCGTTATTCCTCGTGATCTAACACAGTGACATGGATGATAAGTCCTTTGGGGAAATAAACGAAGTTGTAAACCACTATCACAGATTCAAGAGACTTTTGAGTGATGAAACTTTGACCAGCTGCAGGGTGTGGACACTTTTTCTGTACAGTGATTGATACGTTTTAATATCTGAGCCTGTGAACATACACATTTCAAGGTATACTTTTGGCACAAAACATCTTATCACAGAGTTTAAAATTTGGTGACGTGTTGCTTAAGGCACGAGAAAGTAAAGTAAAAACCCAAACTGCAGCTTAATTAAGTGTTGTAACAGATTTATCCTCCATGACAGTGGTGGCCAGGGCTTTTAGTTGTTGTAGATTTGATAGTGGATCATCATTGCAAATATAACAAGAAGAAAAATATCACTATTCAAAAAATACCTGCAGAAACCCATATACAACCTATTGTAAAGACACAAAGCATTCACTAAAGCTCCATTAAGACGCCCCTCCTAACCCAGTGCGGTCTTAACCATGGACTATAAATAAAGATGGACGATGTGGAAGCTCCCAAAATTGAAGCCAACACATATTGATCACCTTCAGGAGGCTGTGGTAGAGGACATAAACCTTAACTCCTCCATGTTAGCAGATGGAACACTGACCAAACTAAAAAGTCAGATTACGCATCAAACAAAAATAAGGACATTTTGTGTCTGTCATTTAGGTAGTTGGTATCACACTGATGTCAGGGTTCATGATTCTGTAAAATTAGATTTTAATTATTTAATGAAATAACAAGTGAAGAGAGACATCATGACTGACTGCTAAGACTGATAATTGACTTAAAGATTGGTAAGAGGATCAGCGGGACCAAAACCTCACCTCAGTGCAGCAAATGTATGCATGAAAATAATGTCAAAATATCAGTCCATTCATTTTACAATTGTTTAAAGTAATAGTGTGACATAAACTGCAGAAACTCACACACTTTACAGATTATAGAAGACGTATTCACAGTTAAAAGCCTGGGATGAGAAAAGGGAATAACATCACTGAGTCACTACTGACAATTCATTTTCACAGAAATGTGAACAAACAT